CATCATCTCCCGCCCGGGAAATATGTACAAAGTACATGAATTTGTATAATTGCAATTTTACTCTTTGCGCATTCAACGCTTTACTTATTAGACCAGTTCGCGATTGACCGTACAAGTGTGCACACAAGTCATTTTAATATCAAGTATTGTTTTAATAAATTTCTATATTTCAACAAGTTTTATTTATCAAGATTATCAGCAATCAAGACAAGAGCATCAGCTCCAACAATACCTCTCTATGAATTTTGTTCCTATGGTGCAATTTTAGGACTAAGATTATAAAACCGGCGTAAACGACTAACAATTAAAAATGCACCTTATCTACACTACTTTCAAGTTGAAATTCTTATGAAACATAATGCAAAGGTAACGTAGGAAGATATGATATGTTGGAATTTCAATTATAATGCTATAACATAAGGTGTATTTTTATTTGTACGCAGCTGTTGTTAAATTGTTAAAACAAATTATAGTATTAAGCATATTTTTGTAAATACTTGTCTACAATTAATTATTGTGATGAAATTAGTAATTTATTTATACCTTATAGACTTTTATACCATTGTTATTAAGTAGGTTTTTAAGTGAATAATAAAAAGATATTTTATACAGTTTTGTACAATTTTATTTTAAAGGCACTCATCATTTGTAGCAGAGTTATTGTTTGTTGTATTTAAACATACATGAATACATACAATATTTCATATTATGTACATCATTATCAGTTTTTTTTTAAGGGGGGAAAATCATCGAATGACTGCTTCCGCCTGGGTGAGGCGGGAGGGAGTGTCAGACTCTTACTGACTAAAAACCACCCCGTTCCTTCTCCTGGACGTCGAGCCGGAGCCCCGGTTACCCGTTAGGTTCTACGCGACACATCATTATCAGTTAGGGCTGAAACACATAACTGCGTTGCGTCGCCGCAACGATAAAATCGGCAGTTTGCGTTGCGGTGTTGCGGCGTCGTGAAAAAGATCGTTTTGTTGTCGTTTGGTAGGGTAACCAGTTCGTCGTGATTTTTTATTGTGGATAGACGTGTCTCTGCCATGGACCATCGTGAAAAACTTATTGCTTATTTGTTATTAAGAAGACATTACTCTGCTATGACGCAACGCTGTTATGAGTTTCGGCCTTTAGAGCCCTCGCCCACGGCGACTTTTTGAATCGCGACAATATCGCTAATAACTTGTGTTACTTTTGTATGCACTTCGCTACTGTATTGATGCGGACGCTCGACAGTATTACAAATTCGCCATGAGCGAGGGCCCTTAGTCATCATCATCATCATCATCAACGGCCGAAAGACGTCCACGTACTGGACAAAGGCCTCCCCCTTAGTCCTCCACGTCGAACGACAACTCGCCACCTGCACCACTGGCTCCCCGCAACTCTAGCGATGTCGTCGGGGCCCTTAGTAGCAGTGTTGGGCAAATTGTAATTGCAAGAACAATTAAAGATTAACAATTAATTAATTGCTAAATATAACCACAACAACTAACAATTAATCAATTTTAATTTTGGAAAAATACAATTAACAATTATGTAATTGTTAACTGTAGTAGTAACAATTAACAATTAATTAATTGTTAGTTGTGATTTACTACAATTAACAATTAATTAATTTTCAATTGTTTAGTGAATTTTAATTAAAACTAACAATTACAAAAATTCTGCTGCATAATATACAGCCGGTATATATAAATATTTAATATACCGGTATGGCTCCGGGTAGTAGAATAGTGCCCCCCACCTATTCATATTATGTTGGCAACAAATAAAAGACCTATTCAAATAATCATCAATACCTTTAATTGAACATGATTAGACAGACAATGACAATTTAAAATCTCTTGTAATAATTGAGTGAGAACCTACGTGTCGTGTGCGCGAGTGAGAAGCGAGAGGCCTACAAAATAAACACGTTACGACTTGATATTTTTGTTGTACCTACCTACGAACGCTGTAGAAATAATTATCAATGCAACATTGTTATACATAAATACAAACACATCATCATCCTCCTCAGAGCCTTTTCTCAAATATTTTTGGTCTATGTTTGGCTTCCAGTCTCACTGGATGCGGCTGAATATGGATATTTTATTTATTATTATAAGTTGATTGTTAGTTTTAATTGTTTCATGAAACAACTAAAAAAGTTAATTGCAATTACTTTAATTGTGAGTTACAATTGACATACATTATTTAAATTAATTTAATTGAAAGGTGCAATTAAAAGTTTAATTGCGATTAATTTATTCGTGATTAATTTAATTGCAATTACTTTTTTAGTCAATTAACAAGATAATTGATAAATTAATTAATTAATGCCCAACACTGCTTAGTAGTATATACAATATTAGTAAATGGGGTACTTGCCAACTAGCCGAAATTCAATACTTTTTTCGAACTGTCAAAAACGACAGTTTTCTATGAATTTTGTACGAGATTGTTCACGTTTTTTTAGCGTCAAACAGCATAATTATTTCTTAAAAAAATGCGGAAAAAATACTACAATTAAGTTGGTCATAAAATCAATTAAAGAAAGTGTGATTATTTTTTAAATATGTTATTGTATTGAACAGTCGAAATAATTTATTTTTGATTAAGGAAAGTACCGAATTACCGTTGTGCTTATTGAAGTAGGTTTACTACTTAGTTTATTTAATTTTTATTTAGGAACACAATTATAAATTGTCTGTGGAATATAGAAAATACTACGCCTCTCATTGCTAATAGAGATAAGTAAGATACATGAGATATACATGGGTGTAATGTAATATGAAAAAGAATAAGTTAAAAACATTTACTTGGATATTTTCATCATTTACTAAATCTTGGTATTGGCGTTCTTCAAGGCGTGTAGTAGTCTTGCTGGGTCAGTTAAGAACCACTGCCATAGTTTCCGAAGATTCTGCTTGTCACCGTTCTGGAAAAATTACAGTAGGTAGTTAAAGATGCAGATTAAAGAATCAATGCAGCTGTATCTCCTAATCTATTTTATTTTCAGTCATAGAAGTTCATGTTCGCAGCATTCCCCGACCGACGCGGCGACTGTCGCGCTGCTACACATTCTAACAGCGCGACAGTCGCTGCGTCTACTAGTTGAGTTCCTTGTCAAATAATTACGTTAAAAAACATAATAATTACTAATGAAACATACCTTAACACTAGTAAACATATTGCTAGCATCCAGCACTCTCCTGTCGACTAGTTCCATGTCGTGTCTCAGTGCGTGCGCCAGGGTACTGAGGCCGCGGGCCGCGCCGCCCGGCTGGCGGGTGCGGCCCGACCATACTGCAGCATGGAGACATGCGGTCGATTCGTTGCTGAAATAAGTATAAATAATGTATAATTATGGACAGAAATAAGATACTATAAATCCTTTATAATCAGTCTCTAGCTAGATTAAATAAATAAGAGAATCGTGAAATGTACACAATAAAATATTTTGTCTCACCACTTTGCCGCTTGCGCAGACCAAGACTAAGGGTTACGGCTGAGCTGAGCTTGAAACTAGTCAAGCTAGCCAACATCTCCGTAATATAATAGGGTGATGTCATCAATTTGAATATTGACTTAATGACAATATAAAATGATTATTTCCCGCCATATTATAACGACTAAAAAGAGATGGTTA